GCTACATGAAGTACAAGTCTTTAGGAATTAACTATATTTCTTGTTCTCACAACGTTATTATGCACAAGGACTCTATTTGTATAACCTGAAAGCATTTCATAGTCCTTGTGTGAGTACAGGACTGGTAAAGTAAAAAAAAAAAAAAAAAGAAAAAAAAAAACTGAGTGAGAGCCTGTGACAGAATCTTCTCTGATTTTAAGAAATGCTTTCTGCCTAGAGGCAGCTATATATTGATGGGAATAAAAGTGTTCTGGCTCCCAAGGTGAACTACAAATCAGTATCCATGTGTTAAAAAGTAATGATGTATTTGACTTTAGAATAGACGGGAACGAAAAATTCAGCATTGCTGGAATGAATATATGTGAAGCAACGTTCTGATGTACTAACCTCTATTTTTTAAGGATTAAAGAACTTTTATAAAAATAGAACTAGTGGACTATTTAACACCGAATATATTTCTTAAAATTAAACTTCATATAACTGTTTCTATGGCAAAGCCGTTAATGAAAAGTATATTGTTATTAATTAGCGTTTATGCCCTGGTATTGTTAGAAACCAGACAAAACATACACATAGTTAACTGATAGCTTATAAAAGGGATGTGGAGAAGAGAGAAAGATAATACCCAGAGCTCATCCTTATGCAGCTGTGACATTGGACTTTCTCACAAAGTTTTTCCCCATGAGAGTATAAGAAACAGGCAATGCAGGAGCTGAGCGCTGATGCTGAAATTTCAGCTTCACTCAAGACCATGGCAAAACTCAAGGTCTAAAAGATGCCAACAGATGAAAAAAGAATCTTCTTCCTCATTACAAGTGTGGAAAGAGGGGTATCCTGGCTGGATTTTCTGAAACTGAAAACACCTATTTGCATAAAGAGATATCTACATCTCACTGATGAAAATGATTTAGGGAAAAATAAAGCTGGTGGAAAAGTTTCAAAGAGCATCTTTTTCAGTTAAAAAAGCAGGAGCAATTGTTAATGCCATTTTTCATTTTAAAAGTAATCTTTTACTAGCATAAACCTTTTCTTCTTATTATTAATTTCTAACCTAAAGGAAATAATAGAGTATAAAGCTCTCTAGTAAGTTATCTCCTGGCAAAGTGACAACAATATGCTTGTCAGCAACAAACTGATAATCACAACAAATGTGTGCGTTAGTAGGCTCCTTTGAGCTCAGCAAGGACAATGAAGTGCCCCTTCAGTTCAGAGGTATGAAGAACTGTGCTGAAGTTAAGCCTAGCTATACTGCACACAAAGAAGTTTATAAATAAAGAATGAAAGAAACTGAATTAAGGAGATGTTTCAGTCTGTGGCTCCAGAGGTCGACCCATATAATGCTGCCAAAAGGGGACAGCTTGCTTCTTTCTACCCCTCTCCCCCTTATTCCTGGTCATATGAAGTATTCCCTCCTTTCCTTCAGCTATATCAGTTGAGGCACCCCTCTGCAATCCCTAACAGTAGAAAATTATCTGCGTGTTTCTGCTGGCTTAGTTTTTTTCTCTTACTTTAGAAGTTCTAGCTTAGGAGGTTTTGACAATCACTGGAGCTGCAATAAAAACAGCATCATGAGCTTGTTCCTGGGAGCTATGGGAAAATGAGAGAAAGAAGCCAGTTCTCTCCTTTTCAGTAGCAGTGAACTGCTACATCAGCTCTCCACATCTCTCCACCATACCCTCTAAATCAGTAGTACTGACTTTCTATTCTGCAGGCTTGCTCTCAGGCACAATGACCTTAAGTGATGTCCCAAACCAGGCAAAACTGGCATGGCTCAATTAGAAAGAGAATCCTACTAAAAAAACCACAGGTGCTGACTCAGTAAAGAATCAAAAGATGCAAATGCAAAGCACTGATGCTGGAAGACTTTCAAATGAGACAAAACCCAGATCAGTGGGGTTGTCATCCTGATCAGTTGTCATCACCAGTGACTCCCTGGATTCCCTCACAGTAGAAGTGCTGTTAACACCAGCATCCTGATGATTTTCCAGTTTCTGGAAATTTTCAGCCTGTGCTCTAAGAACGTTTTCTTTTACTCATCTTTTAAATGCTTGATCTGTAGTGTTGCTGTAGTCCTAAAAAAGGGCATCTACTCTTCTTTGTCTCTGAACATCAGGGAATTAATGCACATTTCATTGTACCTGTCATGGGCACATCAATACAGAAAAAACATGCACACATATCCAATGGTATAATAGAAAGGTTTTACTCAACATGGGTTTTGATTGGCCTATTTACTTTGAATGGTGACTATACATTCAGATGACTTCTACAGATCACCACAAATGAATGCCAGTAAATTTGTTTAGAGTACCATCTGGACATGTGTTCTTCTGCATGTCAGATTCTGTGCATTACAGAGTTTTTAAGGGCTTTTAATTGCTACCTATTTTCCTAGGGGGTACTATCTCCCTATTACAGAGCCAAGCTCTTTACTGTTATGAGACTATGCCTATCCTCTGGGGAAAATTTTAATTAGATGCTCCTGGTGATTGGTTCTCTTGTAATAATCTTATGTTTGTAGTCCAGTATTAACTGTCTGGCCCATAGACTTGATATTTTGCAGGGATATGCTTTTGCATTAAAGTTTGTACCAATCTGATCAAGTTTCAAATCTTTGGAAAATCAGCAAATTCTGAAGAATATGTTTTAGATTTCAATGGTCAATGATCACTAAATTTTTGTCCTCACTGAGCATGCTTTCACCCCTGATCAAAGTGGGCTGATGCTTCAAAGAACAAGTAAGGATACCATAGTATAATGCTACAACAATCAGAAAGACATTCTTTAATAGCAGTTAGGCCCATTGGCTTCAAAGTGAAGCCAATAGCAAGGCCCACTGGCTTCAAAGTGAAGGTAAAGAGAACTATTTCTCTAGCAGCCTAATCATGTCTCCCCTCTTATCATTCACTGGCAGAGGAAGAAGCCACCTAACTCAGAGGCATGGCTAAAAGCAAAACAAGAGTCCAGAAAAGAACAAGATGGGTACAAAGAGTCTGCTGAGAGCAGAGCTTTAAGAATAGAAGAGAAACTATAACAGACCTGGGAAAGGTGAATTCAGTAATGAGAAAGAACAAGAGGGCTGCAAGCTACATTATCAGGTGAGGAGGAACACCAAGAACAGAGAAATGGCTGGAAAAATAGAAGAACCTGGACTAGGACTTGCTGAAGAAGGTGGAGATTAGAAACAGAAGCTATTGGAGTGGTAGAGGAAGAAGACACAAGAAGCTGACTCTAAGAGCAGAACAAAGCCTTAAGGACAAACAGAATGAACAGTGAATGGAGACTGATGGGAAAGATGGGTCAGATAATGACCTGAGACAGGAAACCTGGCACAGGGAACCTGGGACTAGTTGGCCAAGTAAATTCGGGGGCATCAGGGACAATAACAGAACTTAGACTGGTAGAGGGGATAAGATTAGGACTAAACCCATTGCAATTGAGTCCCCTTCACTACTGCAATCTGCAGGTGCTACTGCACACAAGTTGCAAATAACCACCCTTGGCAAACAAAATATTTAAGATGGGTTAGGTGGTGACAGGATGGACAAGGAGTTAAACTCCCTTAGGTGAGCACTGATTCATACTGGGGATGCTGGGAAGCAAAATCCTTCCTACATTCCGGTCATGCATAAGCATAAGGTGCAGAAGCTTGTCTGTCACAGCACTCCCAGTTAATATATGGAAAGGCTTGAGGAAAGAAATACTGTCTTGGTCTTGATTCCGTCTCACACCACATTATGGAGATAGATCCCAGAAGAATGTATTGGAATATCTTGAGGAATCCATTTCAGTGCTCCTCTTAGCACAAGGATCATTTCATTCTATATCTTCTATTTGGTCAACAGCTGGGAAAACTCTGATACCTTTTGGGCCAGCCAATCCGCAGCTGTAGGCAATCTGATCTGTGAGGTGTTACATGGGGGAGGTCTGCTTAGGAGGCTAGATAAAGCAGAAACTTCTACTGTGACACTGGTATAGCTCCCTCCCCCACAGCAAGCAGCTCCCGGTACATTTTTCCAGAAAAGAAAAAAAAAAAACCCACCACAGAAGTCAACTTCACCTTGAAACTGTACTTAGAGCTATGCCTTTATTTTAACTTGTACATTTTTGTTTGGGCTTTTAGCATTTAAGCTACAGAGTCTTATGGCATATAAGTATATACATGTTTATGACTTATGAATCATGACATTTAATTTTCTTCATCAACTTTAGCAGGTGTTTGTTTATAATAATGGGCCAGAGCTTATCTCACTCTAGACAAATTTCATATTACAGAATGATTGCTAAGCTTGGGAAGGTGTGTTCATTTGCATTTAATTCTCTTTTGAAACAGTGAAATTCTGCCACCCTCTGGACAACAACTAAACTAAGACATATTTACAATCAGCCTCAAAAGTAGAAAATCCCACTGCTGCTGATAAACACTCATTGCTTTTTAAGCACATTTTAAAATTAATTACTAGGCTGAATGAAAAATAGCAGTTACTATTAAACTACAGACAAAACAATTACTTTAAGTACTGAATAGCCTTTTTACTAATAGTATCTAATCAAACAACAAACTTTAAAGTGTTCTGTTCTTAACCTTTTCTAGTAGTCACTTCATTGTTCACAGTTGTATTTTTAAACATCTGCTACCAAAATATGATATAATTTTTCATCACGCCAATACGTATTTTCACAGACCAGAACATTCTGGAATTATTAGCACCTCTGTGACTGAGCCAAAAGTGAATACATATAGAACAGAGTTCAGTGGGAGAAAGAAGGCTAAGGAGAAGATTGCATTATGGCTGATCAAATTAGCTTTAAAAAGTATCAATGGGAAAACATGTCTCTCGCATTCACACGGCATGCAGCACTTATAGCTAGTAATACTGCTAGACAATGCATTAATATCATCATTTGAAACAGTAAATATCTGTGCATTCAAAGTTTCAACTTGTGCTTCCAGGATTAGTGTTGGGAAGGAGGGCTGCAGCATATATGTTGTACAGTACCTTGTTTTGGCTATGGAGCCTAGCTGCTGTTGTTCTTGGATGAGCTCAGCCAGCTGTTTTTGCAGAGACATATCTTTACCATGTACTTGTTTAATAAACGGATGCTCCAAAAGATGGGTGACTGAAGGACGCTTTTCAAAATCCTTGATAAGACACCTATGACAGAGAAATAGTGGTCTCAGGCAATGATGTTATTTCATTACGGCATGATTTGAGTCGGCTTACTGTGTGGCTGTTATTGTACACTAGTTTCTTCTTCCACAAATTTGAGTTCCTCAGTATGCAACAAGACTCTTCCTCTATATTGGAATAAATCTGGCATAAAATACTTAACTAAGTGAATTCACCCTACAAGTATACTAGTATAAAGGCTATGAATTTGAGCTTATTTAATCTCTCTTTTTAACTATAACTAGCTTACTAGGAAAAAATGGCATCGTATCTTGTAAGTGCTGTACAGTTAGTATACATTAAACATAACCTAAGATGAATAGACCGTACTTCATTCACTTTAATTTTCTACCTATTCTCCGATAAGAGTTTGACTAAGAACTGTAGGATATAGCCTATTAAAAACCACAAGTGAAACCTGTGATACAACACTAGTCAGAACACTTTGATATAGAGCTTTGTTTTGCTTTTAAAATGAATGTTTCAGATAGCTCTTCTATATTGCAATGATAAGTGTTAGCATAAGAATCATAGACAATTCTGAAAACCTATATAATTCAGACTGGAAGAGAAATGAATGACTCAGAAATAAATGCTAGCCAGGGTACCAAAGTTCTGTCTGCGATAGGAACAGGTGATCTAGTAATGAGTAAAGAGATACATCCTATTAAATTAGCATTAAAAAAAGTATCATGCTAATTTATATAATCAAGATTTAAAATAGAGGAAGTTATCATTAAAGCTGAATTCTTTTCTGTACAATAAAGCTGAAATAATACAGTCCAAACAGAAGAATGATCTAACAGGATTAGACTGCTTTAAAGTACCCTCTAATTCTTTATATTAAAGTATTCTATTTATCTTGCTCAAATAATAATATTAACATAATTTGAGAATGTGAAAAAGAAACGCTGCAATTCAGTATATATCTCCCTTCTAGCACCTATCATTTCAGCCAATTATAGCCCAAGATGAGTTTATTTGATGAGATGCATTCGTATTACATACTTCACAATTACATTTCATATTTGCTGATATTAAGTGATACATATAAAGTACTTCCTTAGCAGGGCCAAATATCACAAATAAAGATTATCTTTTTAGCCAGAAGTTCAATGAAACTTTAATACCTTTTAGAATAATTTATATTCTAGCACTATCAATAACAATTTGCAAAATTTAAACTACATCTAAAAAAAAATCATGCACATTAATTGATTTCAAATACTACCAAACACATTAGCAAATGATTGAAGTTTAGCCTCACCTCAAATACTTTACTGTAGCCTAAAGTCTGGTCTTAAAATGATCCTGAAATATCTTTGAACATAACTTCAATACTTTAGGTTCCTAAAAACCATTTTCCCAACCTCTTCTTGGTATATCTAGTCCAGAAAAGACAGTCTGTAAAATGTGATACCAGTTTTATAACTATTTTGGCAAATTTTGCTATAGGCTACAACTGCAGCCTCCTGATAGAAAGACGAAAGTAACAGAACCTGCTTTATCTCCGTCCCTGTGAGTGCAAGGCTATAAATACCAGTCCTTCCCCCGCCCCGAGGAGATCCATCATTAGCCTTCAACAGGTTCTGACAACCCACACATGCACTTTTCCTTTTGTGATCCATGGTTTTTAGAAGTCAACACACCCACAGAGACAATATGATCCATGCCAATCCTGGTTAAATTTATATGTTTCCTGAGAAAAAGGAAAAAAGCATTTGAAAAGAAAGGTAACATTAATCAGGAAGGCAGAGGAAAAAAAAAAAAACCAAAACAACAAAAAACTATGTAGTATACAAAATCACAGATTGATGGCAACTATCTGAAGTGAAGATTTCAGTTTGAAAAGCTCATCACTTGTGATTTTTACCATTCTAACAATAATAACAATTTTATAGTATTTATGCTATATTGTTAATATATAAATTTTCTTGTTAAATTTGATTACATCAGGAATTTTTCAGTAATATAACTGAATCCAAGTGAAGCAATGTCATAGAATCATAGAATAGTTTGGGTTGGAAGGGACCTCTAAAGGTCATCTAGTCTAATCCCCCTGCAATGAGCAGGGACACGTTCAACTAGATCAGGTTGCTCAGAGCCCCAACCAACCTGACCTTGAATGTTTCCAGGGATGGGGCATCTACCTCCTCTCTGGGCAACCTGTTCCAGTGTTTCACATCATCATAAAAATTTCTTCCTTATATCTAGTCTGAATCTACCCTCTTTTAGTTTAAAACCATTACCTCTTATCCTATCACAACAGGCCCTAATGTCATAGCAGTTGCTTTTCAGATAACAACAACATTAGAGTTTAAACGGATTCTCTTCAAGAAATTACACAGTTCCAGACAGAATATCTTGTGTTTACCAAAAGTGTGAAGGACATACAAATCTTTTACCTGGTGGTATGTCATTATTAATATGAATTCTACTCTGAGGTCTGGAACAATGCACCTCCAAAGACACTCTATGGACAAGATCCAGAAGTTGCAAGAGAAATTTTTCCATATAGATGGCCCCTAGGTGAAATATCCAAATGTCCAGGATACTGCATTCATTTAGCCGAACAAGAAGAGATGGAAGGAAAACATTTTAGGGAAAAAAGTTCTTAGCTTCTCTATTATGTGCCTGAAATGCTAGCTGTTTAGGTCTGGCAGGTGTTTTAATGAGCATACGTAAGTTCTGCCAGGGAAGTGGTCTTGAAGACTACTTTAGGATTACCTTTGCTTCTGTTGCATATTCCTGCCAATCCCCCGCTGACTATTCACTTTGCATGCATGTAACTCTTCTGCTTTGCAACTATCAAAGTTTATATATTGTTTCATCTATAGGCAGCCTTCATTCTCTGGTAGTAGGATATTTTTGCAATCTGTGGTCACTTAGGATTTAACTGAAACACAAGTAAAACTTCATGAATTCGTAAGATGACCAAGCTAATGACACAAGACACATCCACATGATTCTGTGATCAAAGTCTCTGTTCCAAGCTCAAACAGAACACACCTACTACTGTGTCAAGTTTGTGCCTATATCGGAAATACAGAGCCCTTTCAGATGGTTAGTGAGATGCCACAATAAAGCAGAGAGCTAGTAACTAACAGCCATGCAAGGGTGAGGGACAGCTGCTTAAATTCACATCTGTAACTTCTTGTGTGAGTACTTCTACTCTAGTTCAGGGAAGAGACTGACAGGAGAATGTACATCTCCACTGAAGTTGGTTTAATCCATCAAGTTAAATGGCAAGTTCCTAGCACATCAGGAACACAGCAGTCACTTCTAGAAACTACTCCTTATTATGTTTCAAGTGCTAGTAACTGGCTTGCAGCTTAGTCACAGTAGGTGCTGTGGGCTCAGGTCGTACTCAGATATTCAGTGCCAATTTGGTGTATCACCAGGCCTGCTGCGATGGAGTGCAGGATGGAGAGCTGTCATGTGAGACTGAAAAGAGAGCCTTTATGTTTCTCCTCTTGGTGCATATTCCTTTGTCCTACTTCCTCTTTATGTAGACAAGACCTATTAATATTCTGAGGTATATTTACATGCTCTGCTTCTACACACTGTCATTTCAACTGTGTTGCTTTTAGTGCCACATTGAATGCATGCTGCTGCTGTTCTTAGTCAACGTTACCTGTAAAATAACAATTCTTGGGCCACCACCTAAGTGCTAGTGAAAAATGATGCATCAGACTGCCAGTGTCAATGCAGGTGTTCAGTAAGGTATCATCTCCTACGCTGGAAGCAGTACTGACACTATACTGCTCTTCAGAAAAAAATAATTTAGTATAGAATATCAGCTCTTACTATGCTAAACACTGCATGAAGGTGAGCATTATCACAGTGTTTTCTACTGATCTGCATCCTGAAATAGAACTATAATGTGTGAAAAAGTTAATCAGATGGGTGCCTGAGTCCAAAGTTGCCAATACATGCAGTCAGGAGATGTATTCCATGTAAATGCCAGAAAAAAAGAAATCAAGAAGTAATACACAAAAATCAGCAATATTAACATTTGAAAGATGAAGAGTACAGTAACAAAACAGCTTTTATAATGTCACTTACCAGAAAATATTCTTATTCAATGCAGCCAACAGAAATCAGTGTGTGCGTTGTGCAAGTAAAAAACATATTAAGAAGTCATACCACTGAAGGAGAAAACTAAAGTATCTTCAGATGCTCATCTGAGCATTCATTTAAGACCAGTTTGGACAGTTAGCTTAGGCATCATCAAACATCAACCATGCTGTAATTACATATAAAAGCAACAAATGTACTGCACCTGCAAATTAGGCCAATTTGTTTGGCCCACGGAAATTTAAAAAAAAAAAAAAAAAAAAAAAAAAAAAGTAGTGAGACTGCCTTGCATTGAGCAAATTGACTAGCAAATCATGGGTTTCATACAAGGTATGATGAAAATACGATCATATTTGGTCTGCTATTTTTTGGATCTAAAATAATGGGAAGGCTAAGTAAGTAGAGATTGAAAAGGAAACAAACATTGTACATGTTTGCCTTGATGAAAGTCAATCCATTACCTAATTTGAAATTCTAGTATCTTCCATCATGCTTTCTTAGCTGAAAATTAATTCTCAGAATTCATTAGTGTCACTACATTAAACATAGGTTGCAGCCATTTGCTGCAATCTCGCAGCCAGGCTCCTAAGCTCCATTTCCATTCTGCCACAATTACAGGCAAAGATGAAGCATTTATTATCAGGGGATAAGAGCAGACTCCCATACACACAGGCCCATCTGAGACGGCCTCTAAAAATTCACTGGCAGCTTGCACTTGGACGATAACATTGTTGGAATTGCTAGTTCTCAACAATGTAAACTGCCATTTTGCAAGTAGCAAATCAGACGACTGAAAAGGAGAGATATTTATCAGCATTCACAAGCTAATATTTACTAATGAATAAATGGAAAGAAATAGATTTCACAAGAACTGCAGTGGTGGTCTAAGTCTCCCGTGTATTCCAAAA